ACAGCTTAAAAAAATAAAATGTTTAATTTAACAAGTATTAAAACAAAATTATTATAACATTTCAAGCAACATAATGCAGACTTCAATCAATCCTTCGCAGGGTATAAGGAAAAATTTTGAAAGGGCAAGAAGAATTTCTTACATAATTAGTTCTACTATTTTATCACGAGTAACAAACAATTCCACATCCTCAGGATTTAAATATTCTTCATATCATAGGAGACTGTACTGCCTTTTGAATAATAATTTTACTTTAGAAAATTTATAATTCAGTTCAATTAAGGAGACATGGTACATTTTCTAATTTTTTAAATTATATTTATTTAATTATTATTCTTAACATTTGAGGAGCTTGGTGTTAGAACAAGGGGCTTTTTTATTTTTAAACACAGAAACATCTGAAAAGTTTGGGAGTAGAACACAGTAAGTTCAATTCTTAGTGACAGTCAAATAAAATTTAAAAAGACAATAGGTTTATATAGTGATACAAGAAAAGGGTGATTTTATATTTGTGCTAGGTTCTTACACTTATCAAAAAGTTACAATTAAAAATGCATTAAAAATAAAAACTGATTAACCTGGTTTTCACATGAAGTCTATTGCTATATAGTCAATTATTCTATTGCTATATAATTGATATTTTTGAGCAACAATACAGTCAAACTAGCTAAAAAAATTTTGTTTTTATTTAATGTGTGTTCAGGAAGAAGAAAAAAACACTTTCAAACCCCTTTTAATTTTTTTTCAATTTTGCCATTTTTTTTCTCGTAAAACTTGAGTAAATTTTAGTTGGCATTACAAAACAGAAATAATTGAAAGTCATTAAAAAAATGAAACAAACCATAAATAATAAAAAAGGTCTAAAACTCTTAAAAAACGTCAAAGTTGTGACTTCCCCAAAAAAATTAAAATAATTTAAATTGCAATCTTACAACAGCCTGTAAGCATCCAGTAAATATAAATTGGAATAAAATATATTAATAAGCTTTCAAAAAAGAAATTGTTATGCTTTGAAAAATGTAGGTAAGTAGAAAATATCAGAATATTTCCAATCTATGTACCATGTCCCCATAAACATATTTAACTTCTTACATAGCAATTATAAATCACAACATGTCCTATTTTACCACTAACTTAAAAAAAAAAAGTTTCAATAACATTTCTCAATACAAAAATAGTTTTCCAATGCTCATTAATAAAAATAACAGTGTTTATGTAATTAACAATCTTATCATTTATTGATTCATTTTCAACAAATTTACATAGACAATTTAAAAGAAAAATTAACATTTAGCTTATGTAAGTATACATTTGTGTAACAATGTCAAACAGAACAAAAATAATAAGAAACAATGTTCTTTCACATAAAATAAATAAATTTAGCTAGAACTTCATTCAGAACTTTTCTATCTGCATACAATTCAAAATTACCATTCATCGGAAATGCTCTTTTTTAATATATGTCTTCTAGTTCAATAGTTTCACCTTGATTATCATGAAACCTGAAGAAAAATAATAATCAGATGACATAAGTCAGGAAAAAGATTACGTACTTAAAGGAAAATTTCGAGTTAATAAAACGGACAGTTTCATAATAACCGAAGAAAAATATAAATATTTTGCGGACATAAACCACGAAAAAAAATCAAGCACAAAAAAGAAAGATTTGGATCAATGACATGAGCAGTTTTAATTTCAAGAGCTTATTTATTTATTAATATTTAATAATATTGATTAATAAATATACCTATCTATAGATTTAAAGAAAAATATTTAAGTCAGTAAATAACTTAAGTCAATATTTTGGAGAATTTAAAATAAATGTATCATATCTTATTTTAAGTTATTTCAAACGAAGGTATTAAATACACATTAAAAAGATGTTCTTAAATGGTACATTTCTTGTGAAACCTTAATAGTGTGTAGTATTCTGGACGATTTTTTTTTTTTTTACTTTCTCAATTTTAACCAACCACAAAACAATTTAAAGAGGTATTGTTGAATGTTCAGAGGGGAGATACTAAAAATACTGAAGTTACAAATTCTGAGCAAGTAAAATTAAAAGCACGGGCATTTAAATTTTGAAAATTAATTGAATATTGTATTTTTTCCCTTAAAAAAAAATAAGCCTGTATACACACAGTAAAAAAATTAACTAATATGCAGCATTGACAATTCAATGACAAATGACAAAATTCCAAATGCCAATTTAATAAATGAATTAAAAGCTTTCATATGAATATAATAATAAGAGTTTAGCTATTCATAACATTTTTCGCTTATAACTTAGACAAAGCTTCATAAAATATAATGAGATTATGATACAATGCATTTATCTCGATCTGAGATATAAAGGGGCAAATTAAAAAATGCAATACTTTTTATATTTTTGCAAGCAATTTATATTTTTGATAGGATTTTGAAAAAGTGCAACAATTTTGATAAAGGTATCAACATAAATACTAAATGGTGAATGATAAAATTCTATCTTCACACCAATTACAGTACAGAACCCGTTATCCGGAAATCAGAAATCCGGAAAACCAAAAAACCGGAACAAAATTCGATAAATTTTCCCACAATTTAAAAAAAAAAAAAAAAATTTTCCTCTTAAGATTTTAGGATTTTTCTTTCTTTTTTGAAAGATGTTTACCTTACCATCATTTTGGAATAATTATTAGTGTATTACTCCATCCTTTTTTCTTCTTTTTAAGATTACTTCCAAATATTTATTTTTTTTAAGTTGGGCTTAACAATAAAAGAACGGCTTTTTGTAGCGATTCAGAAAACCGGAAAAATCAGTTATCCGGAATAGCGATGGTCCCGATCGTTACGGATAATCCGTTCCCTACAAAAAGATTTAAAAATTGAAATCTAAGATTACAGTTTATCGAATTACTGTTTCAAATTACTATTCAAAGACAATAAATTTGACATAAAGAATTAAATATTTTCAAACTTAAGTTAAAACTCCAGACATTCAAAATTTTCTAAAAAGAAATACATACCAATGTAATGAAAGATAAACTAAAGTGTAAAGCCAAAAATGTTCATAAGTAATGGAATTAAAACAACTTACAAGGCTGAACTTTTTATAGCTATTAAGATTTAATTCTAGTCTATGCAAGCATATTTGTACTGATTTTCTGATGCAAATAAAGAAAAATGCAAAACGCTTCATCAAAAATAACTGCCTTTTAAACTGCTTTGGTTTCTAAGACTGTCCGTTTTTTATAACAAATGTTTAAAAAATGGCGTTTTATTAATTTTATTATCACAAAACTTTACCCCTAAAATACAAACAAAATCCACATTGTTTAAATTTTTCGTTAAAAAGTGTGTTAGAAATTTACTGTACAAAATTCTTTACTCCTATCCTTAAAATGTACGCGTATATCATATTTTATGTAAAAAATAATAATAAAGTTTAAAAATAAAAGACAAGAAAATGATATTAATCATTTCCTTGGGAAAAAATATTAAATTCTTTTTTTCACCTGAAAATAAGTTTTAACAAAAATAAAGACATATCCATATGCTTTTTTAATTGAGAATTATTATACTACAATATTTTATTAGGTTGAGCAAAATGAGAAGGCTAATTTTGAATATATTTTACATAAATTCTCAATATGGGATTATCTTATATTTTAACAATAAGATATAAAAATTAATAATTCAAGAATTAAATAAAATAAATAATTTAAGAAAACCTAAAGTATGGCAACATTTTCATGCACACAGAAATTTCTGACAACTTCCAATCAGGAGTTATTGATAAGTAAAGTAAAAACACAACAGAAAAAAAAATATTAAGACTAAAAAGTTATCACAGCATTATCATAAAACATAACATTTTCTCACTTCATCAGTAATTAACATTGAATGTCATGTCAAATAAATAGTTACGGCAGTGATTTACTCAATTATAACCACAATTTTTAACATAAAAATTTTGATGATGATGAGAAAGCAGGGATACTAAGTACTATATTGCTTTCCGCAGCAACAAAAATATTTTTCCTAGTATTACTAAATTACAAATTAAAACATTTCATGTTGATATTCTATGGCTAAATTTAAAATTGTCTCTTAACAAAAAAGTTTTATCATATTTAAATGCATGCAGATAAAAAAGCATCTTAAAAATGGTTAACTTAGAGCATTTTTGTTCAAAACTAAGTCCCTTGCTATGCCTAAATAGTTTTTTCCCTTCAATTTTCAGTTTAATTAATTTACAAATATAATCTGTTGTGACACCACCACAAAAAAAATTTCCTCAACTACATCATTCACAAATCTATTATAAACTAACTTTAACTTTAGATATAAATAAGAAGCAATTTTTCCTTTCTAATTTAAAACATTAATGGTAAAAAAAAAAATTTATTGCATAATTTATCATGATTTTCAAATCTAAGCAAAATATAAGTTTCAATAGGCTCAGAAGCTTAAATTAAATAGATTTTTCAATTTAAAATATAGATGTCTGTTAAACATAAAAATCTACTTTAAATGTAGAAAATAGATTATAATAGGAAAAATGATTTTTTAACTATTCTTAGCTAAAACCTCTTTTGTGATGCCACAGCATTTTCCATTGTCTTGAAAATTTATTGCTGTGAAGAATTTAAAAAATAAAACAATAATTAATGTTTAAGATTTTTTTGCTTAATTCCAGGGTGCGTAGCTAGATTTGTCAACAAAAAATAAGCACCTTTTAAGTACTTTTTAAGCACTCAAAAAATATTTTAATCACTTTCCAAAAAAATCATAATTAGGATCTGTGCAGTAATAAACATTAAATAAAAATTCTTTTGTTTAAAGTTCTTAATTTATAAACATAAAATCAATAAAATTCAAAAACTTTATATAATCATGATAAAATAACTAGTATCTGATAAATATTGCAAAGAAAATTGTCAAAAATCATGCATTTTTTTGTAATTTAGAAAGACAATCGACAAGACGCAGAAAAAATATCTTTTTAAAAGATAGAAAATTAAGCACTTTTTACAAACCCCGAACAAAGAAAGCACCTTTAAGCACTTTTTTAAAATGCTGCGCACCCTGAATTCTGTACAAGCAAATGATATTCAACTATTTACTGAACAAGTAAATCTTTAATTATTACAAAATGAGGGATTATCTACAAATGAAACACTAGCATTGTACTACTTTAAAAAACTGAAAACTGGATTTTTTTTTATATTTTAGCACTTAAGTTTGTAGAAATTGGGAAAAGCTGTAGTAGTTAGTATCCCTGAACGAAATAGCCGAAATGAACTTAAAAGATTGCTTTGAGCTTCAAATAACAAAACATAAAAGACAAGGATGAATGGGATGACAGGAACTAAGTAACGAATTTAGAATTCAACTAAATTATTATCACTCTGTGTATATATTGTTTCCTCTAACATCTCCTGTAAATATAGTTTGGGATGCTGTACTAGTAGGCACTGATTCGGGCAATGTGTCATCAATTGTTTGGGTTTCCTTAACAGATTGGTTCACTGCTTCAAGTTTTTTTACAGCACACATATTCAAAACAAAATTTAATATTTCTGAAGAAACTGACGTCAAGTCAACCTGAAATTACAGAAAATAAGTGGTTAAGTACAAAAAAAAAATCAACATACTAAGCATAACAAGAAAAAAACTTATATATTATTCTAAATAACGACAGTGAGATCTAGATAGTGATGTAATCATATATTTATAGTTTACGAACAGGCCGTTGTGGAAATTTCCTATTAGGTTTACACCAATTAAGAACAACTTTTAGAACAGTTTCGATCAAATGTTCGTCTATTTTTTTAATATTTCTTTCAAGTAGAATAAATAAATTCAGGGGGTTTTTTTTCAGAGAGAAAAGAGATTTTACTTCCTCCATATTAAGCTATGGACAATTATAAGTGTGGAATTTCCAAGTTTATTCAGAAACTAATTCATATTTTTGAATAGTTTTTAATTAATTTTATCAATTGAAATGTATTTCTACTGAACAAAGTTACCAAATATTAAATTTCAAGTTTGTAAGCATTCTTAAAACTTGTTTCAAGTTTTTCTAAGTTAAATTTACAAATTTGGTAATCAAGTTCAATAGAATACAGAATAAAATTAAATAAAAACTATCGAAAATCTTCAACTAGTTATTAAATAAGTGCACTTACGTAATTAAAATAGGAAATTCTGGACTTATTCTCCTAACATCAACACCGAAGTCTATTAACAATAATATTTAGCTTAACAATTTCGCACCAAGATAATAAAACTAAATTTTTTTTAATAATGTGCCGAGAATTTTTATGAAAACTATATTTTGGCTGGCCTAAAACGTTTTAAAATTATGTTATTTATATAATGTTATTTCGGATAAAATTATGTCATGTTATTTAGGATAAAAAAGATTCTGATCAAGAATTGGATTTTAATGAGAGATCCATATCTATCTTCTCAAAAAATTTTGTACCTTGAAGAGACATTGTTTGCTCACAATTTCATAAACTCTTCACATTCACACAGTCTTCATTTTATTATAAGCAAAGATATAATTTAAAAATAACCACAATTACTAAGATAGCAATACTCTTTATTATGTGATAAATTTGGAAATTGTATCATTCAAACTGAATTTGTATCACTCATTGAATTTGTATTTAACCCCTTAACTTGTGCGCTCGAGTTAATTCGAGTGCAAGCAGGCCAAACTGTGCACACTCAAGATAATTCGAGTGACGTTGTATTTTATGTTGCTATAATTTTTCACATTCGAATATAATCGAGAATTGAAAATGAAAGCTAAGAAGAAAAAAACTTTTTATTGATATTTATCATTTACATAGGATTGTAAGCTATAACACTTATTTATTCAAATATAAAATATAGCTTTCTTCCATGGAACAAAAGTGCAGTACAATCAAAATTGTCCACCAAACGAAATGTGTTTTTTTGCATTAAAAAAAATTTTTATGCCTGTTTTTTTCTCGAAAATCTGTGTGTTAAGGGGTTAATTAGTAGATTATGTTCTTTAATGTAGGAGCAAAAAAAAAAAAAAATTCATTCTAACAAAACTACTGAACTAGAACTTTATCATACTTGAATGCAGGGTTGGGTTTTTGACGTCAAAAAGTAGTTTTTGACATGACAAGGGTATAATACTGGTTTAAACCGTCAAAAACCCGTCAAAAATGTCAAAAACTGAAGTTTGCCAAGAAAATATATAAACTTCAAAACTACCAACAGTTGCCATGCATTATATTGAAATTTAATTATACTATAGGTAATCAGCAGGTTTTAAAATATTTTTTAATTAAAATTAAGGTAAAATAACAGATTTAAAATCTCAGAAATTTATATTCAAATGCATGTGCAGAAAAATTTTGCACAAATTTTTTTTAAATATTTATATTTTGAAAAAAAAAATTTTTTTTTTGATACTTAAGAAAATTAAAAGTTTATTACTATGCATTTTTGACATATAAGGAACATATAACTAATATTTATAAGGAACTTACAAGTTATGTTGTATAAATACAAACTTGATATAAGATACAAGTGTATAAAAATTTTTTTTTAATGTTATACCGAATATCTTTATTATCCAGTATGTTAATTTGAATTTAAAAGTAGTTATATTTGTGAATAATGATAAATATAATTCATATTGTTTATTATATTTATTTATAATTATTACACTTATCATTTTAAAACAATTTTTACCTCTTAATTTTTTTCCCCCACTTGTATTAAGAATACAAATAATGCATATCTTGAAAGCAAGAAGTAATTATTCAACAGCTGAATATTTAGATATTCAACAAAACTATATAGTATTCAGCAAAATGAAATTCACAAGTATTTGGATAAACTAAATTTTCAGCATAGTAAATGAATAGGCTGAATATACTGTAAATCGACACTAACTACTCTGTGTATTTAACAGAAAGCACTTAAATTTGTATTGTCTTATGTTAAAAAGATTATTAAGAAGATTTAAAAGAATATTAAAAAGATTTTTCTTTAAAAGATGTCTAATGTACAAAACTGCTAATGTTTATCTTTAAAAATGTCTAATTTTTAGTATAATCTATACTATACACTAAATTTGGTTATAAATAAATTTCTTAATAATATCACTGCAGATTTTCAATAACACATGAAAATGAATACATAATATTACAAAAGATGTGAGCTTTCAAAAGTACAAGATTTTGGTTACTATTCAAAATATAAGTGTTTCTTCAAAATTTTAAATTTATTTTTTCTGAACATATTTAGAAACACTATCCTTTAAAAAATATATAAATTTTATGTATTAATTAAATTTCACATATGAATATAGGTTTTTGACATTTTCGACAGTGAGGTTTCTGACGTGACGGTTTAAACCATGGTTTAAACTGTCAAAAACTGTCACAAGTCAAAAACCTGCCAACCCTGCTTGAATGGTAATGTAATACGGTTTTAACTTGAAATTACATACCATACATTTTAAAGCTAATTTAAATTTCCTTTCAGTCAATTATTATTTTGAAAATACCTTTTTATAAAATTTCATTAAAAAAGGAAAAGTCAATCAATCAACTTTCATTCAATAATTAATTATATTAAGAAAATATAATATCTAATAAAAATTTTAAGCCTTTATAAATCACTTTTTTTTCGTCTTGAAACTAGTTATCTAAAATTAACTTGCATTGTAAACAAAAAGAGACATACCCGAGAACATGAAGGCAGTCCACCATATTTAATTATTTTACTAATTCCTTCTATAAGTTCATTTTTATCGGAATTTGTCTCTGCCTCATTTCCACTGTCATCAGAAGAAAGCTTTGGAACCTTAGGGCGTACGGATCTGTTTGGCAACGGTTTTGCGGCAGAGGCAGATGCCTCAGCATCACTTTCACTCTCATCTGAAGAAATGTTTGAAACCTTGGTGTGTACGGATCTGCTTGGCAAAGGTTTAGCAGCAGAGGCAGATGCCTCAGCATCACTTTCACTCTCATCTGAACAAAGGTTTGAAACTTTGGTGTGTACCGATCTGTTTGGCAACGGTTTAGCAGCAGAGGCAGATGCCTCAGCATCACTTTCACTCTCATCTGAACTAAGGTTTGAAACTTTGGTGTGTACCGATCTGTTTGGCAACGGTTTAGCAGCAGAGGCAGACGCCTCAGCACCACTTTCACTCTCATTCGAAGAAACCTTTTTGTGTTCAGAGCTATTTGGCAAAGGTTTAGCAGCAGAGGCAGATGCCTCAGCCTCACTGTCTGAATCTTCACTATTTACAGTGACTAAAAATTTTCGTTTCGGCTGCTCTGGTGGTGCATTGGCAGGAGTTGGATTACTAGGTGATACCACTTCTATTTCATAATTATCATCTTTAAGGAAAACTTTCAATTTTTCACTGGCAATATATTGCTGAGGTGTCATTTCGACAATATTAGGCTTTTTGCCCTTCCACAGCATAGTGCACTTAATAAAATTACATTCTTCCTCATCGACCACTCTGATACAATTGAATTTTAGAACATCTCCTACCTTCAGAAATTCTCTCAAATCATCATATCGGTCTGAAACTGGTATTTCATTATGATAGACATCTTGCCAGAAAAAATTGGCAGGCTGGGGCAACAAGGGGCAAATAATTGTACCATATTTACAATGCACCTTTTTCATTGTTCCTTCAATTTCTTTGAAGATTTTAACGCAGCACTTAGTAGGAACTTTTTCTTCTTTGGCATCAGTTGACAAATCATCATTTGCAGCTAATAATTTAAGTGGTTCATCGAGTGGAAGAGATTCTGCTCTCTCTTCAACTGCGTCACTAAACTCATCTTCGGAGTTGTACACCTCGTCCTGATTGATAACAGATGCATCATCTATAGAATCTTTCGCAGAATTTTGGGTAGCCACTTTTTCAGTTTCTATGTCGTCTTTTTCTGCATCATCATCAATTTCTAGATCGTCATCTTCACCTGGGTAAGGAGTATCAGCCCAATTTATGTAAGTCTTGGTTTCAGGTGGAGAATCTTTAAATGAAACATCACTTTTGGAAGAATCTGAGATTGTACTAATATTGTCATCTTCAGGTTCTTTTGGTGTGTCAACAATATACTTTTGAAGTATTTCCTCATATCGTTTAAATCGTTCAACATTTTGATGTGCAGAATTCTTTCCAACACTTGAACTCCTTTTTTTCATATCTGGTCTTCTATCCTGATAAGAGTTTGGTTTTTGGTTTACAGTACCTTGCCTCTTTTCCTGATAAGGATTTGAACCTCTATTTACATTGCCCTGTCTTTTTTCATTATATGAATTAGAGTTTCTGTTTAAGCTTTCCTGCCCTCTTTCATCGTATGAACTTGAATTTCGGTTCAAGCTTTCCTGCCTTCTCTCGTGGTATGAACTTGAATTTCTGTTTAAGCTTTCCTGCCTTCTGTGATATAAATCAGGATTTCTGTTTAAACTTCTCTGCCTTTTTTCTTGATGAGAATTTGAGTTTCTATTTCCACTTGTCCGCCAATTCTCACTATATGAATTAGAACTATTGTACATATTATCATGCCTTAGATCTTGGTTGGAATACTTTTTTTTCTGGTTGGATGATCTTCGTCGTTGAGCTCGAGAGTTTCTTGAAAAGCCCCTACCAGAAACACCAGCAGATTTATCTGAAGACCTTGAATAACAACTAGTGGTATCTGAAATATCTTCAACATCCATGTCAATGTAAGAACGTGTTTCAATGCTGCTCGAGTTTCTGCTAGGAGGTACACTAAAATGCTGCAAATTTTCTTGGGATTGTCTCATTGACGAATAACCTGAAGATCTGCTTAATGGTGGCTGATAAGATCTGCTGCTGTTTTCAGAAAAAATAGAATTATCAGAGACTTTTGAAATAGTGCTAGCCGTATCATCAATATCATCAGCAAATTCACTAAAATCACCCAAGTCAGGAGCTGTAACTACTTTTGGCCTTTCCCCAGTCCAAACCAGAGTTGCTTTCCAACCTGGATGAGACTTAATTTCAACAGCATCAAAGCGGACATTATCTCCATCGGAAAATTCCCAAGACACATCCATAACTTTAGTACCCAGCATATAAAATATACTGGAATCAGCATCTGCGATATTTTCAAACTTGGAACCAAATTTTATAACAATTCCTTTTGAGTGTGGATAGATTTTACCAGTTTGATTTTTAAGATGCTGTTTTTTCGGTGCAACATTTTGCAAATCTGCACTACCTTTTGTGTTTGGTATAGCGTTAGTACTTTTTTTTATCCACACTTGAGTTGCAGACCATCGTGCTGTATTTTTCTTCTCTGCTGTTCGCACAGCTTTGAACTCAACCAAATCTCCAACTTTTAAAACTTTATTTAAGTCCACAACGTTTTCATATTTAGCAAGGTTGCTCTTATAAAAAAATACTGTGTTATTTTTGTCATTGTCAATTATTATAAATCCAAAGGTTGGTGAAAGTTTTAGAATCTTGCCTTCACCTTCATTAACACCAGCATCATATTTTCCAGTCTCCCGAGTTTTCCTACTCTTTGGCTCACAGTCATTCTGGAATTTATTTCGATTACCATCTTCTTCAGACTTTATAAACCACACTCTTTTAGCACGATATTTAGTACTATGTTCATTACTTTGCTTAGTTGCATAGAAACCAACTTTTGCGCCAATATGCAACTTGTCTATATCAGTCAAAAGTGTTACCTGCTCATTCCCAAAAGAGGCTGGAGAAAAATATACTTGTGTCTTCAAAGGTGACTTGGCAGCTATAAATCCAAAAGTAGGGTGGATTTTAATAACAACGCCTTCACCATCGTTTAACTGTCTGGGCAAATCATCACTTGGTTCAGTTTTTACAAACCTTTTCACAGATCGATCATCATCATCATCATTAGCATCAGTCTCATGTAAATTAGTACTTTGAAGTCTGACATTTCCATTTGCATCAACTTGAAAGGTATCAGGGTATTTACGTAAAAATCTCATCAATTCAACTTGATTACTTGCCACAGAACTCCTAACATCATAACTTAGACTAGAAAGAAGTTGATTTAAATATCTAATTTGTGCTGAACCACCAGTTTTTTCAATTTTTTCTATCAAAAAGTTCTTAAATGTTGCTTCATTTCTATCCATTTGTAAAGAGGAAATACAAGCATATACAATTCATAAAATTTACCAGGCCTGAAAGAAAAATAATTAAATAAGTACAAATAATATAATAGGCTGAGAAAAGGACATAAAAAAGCTAAGTGAACAAAATAAGCCAAAAACTCATGCCTAACAAATTAATTACTAGATCAGCATAAACTTTACCTTCAGAATAAAGAAACATAAGCTAAAAGGAAAAAAAAAGGTTTGCAAAATAAGAAAGTACTTTGCAGACTATCTACACAAAAAGTACCAAAAAATGGAAAACAATCATGAATAACATCACTCGAATAAACAAGAGTTTTTAAGCCATGTGACAAAAAGTAAATTATTTGACTTTATGTCAAAAATCTTTGCACAAAACAACATTTGTGCAACATTTGCACAAAGCAACATTTACATGATGGTAGCCTTTCATTTAAAACCAATTATTAGAGAAAAAGTTACTTACACTTTTAGAGAATATGAAACTTCTTACTATTCAGAAAATTCTAAGTTAAAATTAAAAGTTTATAGTCTTTCAGTGTTTTCACTACAGCGCGAGAACGCGAGAATCTCGCATATTTTTTTCTTTTCTCGCATTAAAAAATTATTACCGCGAGAAATTCGCGCATTCTATAAACCAATTTCAAAATTCGCGAATTTCTTGCACTTTGAAAAAAATTTCTCATTGTGCCATTTAGAATGAAATCTGTTTCACTTTTCTTCCTGGATCTTTCATTATTTTCAACATCTGCCCCATTATCTAGCTTTCCTATTTACCAGAATTGTTCAGAACCTTTAAGAACAACAGAACACCATCCTTCGGAACCTCTTTCAGAACGCATTTTCTCTGCAACCACGTGTTTACCGTAGGTAAGGTTTCTCCATGTAAGAAGTTCAAATTTTTTGCTCATTATTGTAAGATGGACAAATACCTTGTAAAGGCAATATCTTCTACTCCGAAACGGATAAATGAAAATGAAACAAATGTGGGTAGAAACGATCAAAATGAAACAAACACGCATTTGAGCAACCTAATGAGAATAGCTGATAAAAAAAGTAGATGTAGAACATTTTCCATATGATGATGCAAAAAAAAAAATATTCAATGCTTTAAAAATTAGAAGATGTTAAAAATGTATTATAATTAAAGAAAGGATTTTTTTTTCAAGTCTCTTAGTGTTTTTTTTTTTTTTATAGTTTTTAGATATCTCACTTAACTTTTTGAAATCTCACCCTGTTTTTGAGAAAGGGTGAGAAATTCTCACCCATTTTTTTCTGCGATGAAAACACTGCTTGTTAAAAAAAAATATATTGAATACTTTTAAATTACAATACAGTATATCGATATTTTTACTCATACAATATACCCAGTACCATGTACAATATACATTTTGTGCCTTAAACAATATTTTGCAGTAAAATATATATTTTCATTTTTTTAATTATATATTTTTCTTAAAGTTCGGCAGATGCATTTTATATATAAATTATATTTTTTAAAAAATAAAATATAAGTAAAATGTCATTACTGTCCCATGTCACCAATACCTGCTATATTATGAAAGTATTACAGAGAAAAGTACATACATATTCTTACATAGTATAACTTGGGTACTTGCATATATATAATCAACATTCTTAGAATAATTTAAAAATTTTGTTCTACACCTCATTTTGTATGTGCCCCCCAACTTTTGTGTAATAACTATACAAAGGACGAAAAAAAACTAATAAAATACTATAGATGGCTCTAGTTGAATGAAGTATAACTTCCAGATTATAAAGAACATTGTTCTCTACAGCCCTGTGGCAGAATTTTTTCGAGCTATCTGCGACAAAACTCTTTAGCACTAATATCTTTCTGCAAGATACTTTTAATAATAACAAACTAATTAATGTTACTATTAATAAACTAAATAATGTTACTAAAAATAAACTAAATAATGTTACTAAAAATAAACTAAATAATGTTGCTAATTTAAAATAACAAAAGTGCTGCGTTTACATAAGAAAAAACTATATATCGCTGGTTCAAAATTAAAATGACACATCTACAAATGTATTATGCCTGCAGATGTGTCGTTTTAGTTTAGAAGCAGCAATATGTTTGTTTTTTTAATTGAACATGTAATAATTTTTTATTCTAATATGGATGATATTTTTGCATTCTGGTGTGGGGGGACGCTTAAATTATTTCCTACATCACCCATTGTAAATAATCATCATAATAAAAAAATTGTTAAAAATCATGAAATCGGTAGTAGTAATTGTCAATAAAAAGATAGACGACGAAATCACGCGAATCGGATGCCTCAAATGGGTGTTTTGTTTCGAGATTAGGCTGTTATAATAAATAATATTGTATAAAAAATATCGTATTTAAAAACTATGGAGAAATCAAGAGCAATAACTGCCAAAATTCGATAGAATTATTGCCTTAAAAAGTAAATACTCAAATGCACGATTTGAATTTTCCAGATTGTTTGAAATATATCAGGATATTTAAAAACCATGTGGAAATCAATATCAATAATAGCCGAAAATACAATTGAAACATTACATTGATTTACGATACTATTGGCATAAATTGAGCACATCAAAAAGTGATTATCTAAAAGCAAGATTCCAATATTAGGTGTAAATTTCTGTAGAAAAGAAAAGTGATTTTTTTTTTTTTTTTTTTTACTTTTCAAGAGAAAAATCGTTCTGCAAGAACTCTGTAGCGTTTTGCGACAACATCGACATGTCGCTGCGATTTTGCCTCGGGGCTCTACAGAATAACACAGTTTCATTGCAGTACCATTTTTTTATGTCCAATAAGCATACTTTCTCCTTAAAAATTCAGTGGGCAAATTCATTGAATATAATTAATGTCCCATGATTTCTTTTGAGAAATTGCAAACAAGCAAAAAAAATTGATTTTAATAAAGTATATCAAATTACTTTTATAAAATATGAATAGTTTGATTAAAGAAATTAAATAGTTTTTCATTTATTTGGTAAAAACTACCATGTACTTAAAGGGGACAGTAATTGCCAAAGGATCAATAATTACTTTACTAGTACCTGAAAAAATTTTTGTGTATTTGATTTATTTAGTTATGTTATTAAACATTTAGTTTCCTTTTTGTCAGATTTTAAAAAATAATAAAAGGACATTATTATTTGACAAACAGAACATTGTTAGTAAACATGAAAATACAAAATTTTTCGAGAGTATCAGATATTATCAGATTAAATTATCAGTAATTAATATTATCAGATTATATTAATATTGATTCAGATAAATTTAAAATAGTTGACTTAAAAGTGTTTAGATATTTATTAATACATTCTGCTTTGTGTTCCAAATGTAGTTTGGTTTAGAATATTAAAATTATTGTAAAGCAAGCAACGGAAAAAAAGTACTTTTTTTTAATTTTAACTGAATTTTTATTCATTTTTTTAAATTTTTAATTGGAAATGTAATTGGCATTTTTCTGTTCCCTCTTAACTCTTATTAAAAATTGAATAATTTAGAATGTCTGCACAATTAATTTGATTTTAACAGCGTTAATGTCTGAATTTTGAAATTTTGATTTTTATTCACCAGTTCTTATTTAAAAAGTGATGAGTAAAAACAAGAAATTGGTTACTTAAAAACATAAAAAATAAACAATATTTAATTATTATCAAAATTTGCAACTTCAGTTTTAATTACTCATTGAAATTTTTGAATTTTAGATAAATTATATAAATGGGAGAAATGAAAAAAAATCAGGAATAAAACTGCCGCCTAGTAAAAAGCTACTGGTCTATTTGAATGAAAAGAAATCACATGCACAAAGATATACTAAAAATGAAATGTCATTTAAAAAATGCTAGGGATATTTCCGTATCATAATCTGCAATGCCAACTACAATCGCCCTGTCGCCAAATTTAATTCAAACAGAAACTTTTCTTGAAAAAAAAAAAAAAAAACATGTAGAGGTTTGCCCAGGGTGGATATAAGTTATAGCCTTAAAGTCAGTCAATTTTTGTGATTTTTTTTTCCCTTAAAGTCAGTCAATTTTCTTGATTTTTTTTCATCATTTTAGTTTCTCGCAGGCCACTGTCCAGAAATGGCCAAGACTTAGCGATTACTCAGCCACAGATCATGATATGGAAAGCTTTCCAAAATGCCATCAAAGTCAATTTCTACCCATTTCTAAAACATAGACATTTAGATGAAATATAGACAGATTTAAAAATGCAAAACACATTCTGCCACAGATCATGATATGGAAAGCTTCCCAAAATGCCATCAAAACCAATTTCTACCCATTTCTAAAACATAGACAATTTAGATTAAATATAGACACATTTAAAAATGCAAAACAATTCTGCCACAGATCATGATATGGAAAGCTTCCCAAAAATGCCATCAAAGTCAATTTCTACCCATTTCTAAAACATAGACAATTTAAATGAACTATAGACTTATTTAAAAATGCAAAACAAACAATATCTATTACAATTTAAATTTTTATAAAGCTTATGGGGAATTAAAAAGAAAAAAATATTAAAAATACAAACAAGATTTTTGGCTTTAAATTATCATGTGTTTGCTTACAAAATGTGGTCTTACTTCAGGCAATATAAAAATATAATTGATACAAAGATGTTTTTGCAATGAAGAAGTAAAAATTCTTAAAATTTCTTCTAAATTTTAGACATAATTATTTTCTTGAAATATTAATTAAATTTTCAACTAAATTCAATTATTGAATATTGACTATTTTGAATAGTCTATAGCTTAAAACTCTCGAAAATCAGCTCAGCATGTTCAAAATTGACTTGAGTATTTTAAAATCATAACTTAGAATTAGCTTAAAATGAAACTAACTTTATGTGACTCAAATTGAGAATTGATATTTATTAATTATTGTTAAAGTTTCATTTTAAAAAAAAAATACCACACAGGTTACATTTTTTCATTCAATAATAATATAAAACTATCAATAAATTTTCATTTTTAAAGTTTTTTTCATTGCTGGTCATTGATTTGTATACATAAATGTATGGTCTT